ATCAGGCGTTTGTTCACAAATCATTCACAGTCTGTAAAATATTTTGGGTGACTTTAACTCTAAGAACTGTAACTGGCTAAGTAGTAATATCACAGACAACGCCGGGCGTCAGCTGGAAAACATTCTTCTGGACTATGGACTAGAACAAGTGATTCACGAGCCCACCCGCGGTGCAAACTTACTGGATCTGATCATCACTTCCCACCCAGTGTTGTGCAACCGAACTGGTACCATGGCACCCCCCGGGGACTCGGATCATCTAACTACTTTTGTAACACTGAACCTCAAGGGTACTCGGCCCTGTGGAAGACGGCTAGTCTGGTTGTATAGCAAAGCAAATTTTGAATCACTCTGTGAAAATTACCACCCGTCCGCTCCCACCTGTGATTCCCCGGTCATTCTAGCCGGTACTACTTTACAGGTGGTTCCCAGCCACAAACACCTGGGTGTGATCTTAACCAACAGACTAACTTGGTCTTTGCATGTCAACGCTACAACAAACAAGGCAGGAAGAACTGCCGGGGTGCTCTGTGCGCTACGCAAAAAGTTACCTCAGAACATCCTGCTACAGCTTTACAAGATCATGGTAAGACCTGTTCTGGAATACGCGGACATTCTATGGGCAGGTCTCACACTGCGTGACCAGAGACTACTTGAAGCTGTCCAGTATCGCTCAGCCAGAATGATCAGTGGCCACCATGGCATTCCGTATCCGTCCTGCCGTTCCGTCTACTCTCAGTTACGTCTCCCATCTCTTACCTTTCGCCGGAAGCTTCACACTCTGACTGCCCTCTATAAGCTGATGAACGGACACTGCCCCCCCCCACCTTCTCAGTCCCCTACATACCACCAGATCATCTGCCATTGAATCTAGATATTCCCTTAGAAACGCAAATAACCTTTCTTCGCTAGCCCCCAAAAGTGTCAGAACACAAAAAACCTTCTTCTACTGGTCCGTCCAACTGTGGAACTCTCTTCCACAGGACACCCAGACAGCTCCATCCCTAGCATTATTCAAAGCTAAGTATGGCTCTCCCTTGGAGACCAGTTTTCTGTATAAGACAGTACACACATGTATTCTACTTGCACGAATCGTACGGTATGTAATAATTTTATTGTATCATATGTAATCTGCATATATTAATGACCATAATTTATGTATTTAACCACATTTTTTCCCAGGGCATGCCCTTAGTAATAGCTTCTAGCTAGTTGGGCTGCCCTGGCTGTCTTGTACCAGCCAAACCAATAAATAAAAAACTAGAGTTCCCCGATCTCATACCTTCGCCAAAAGATGTTAATCTTTATGACTGACAAATTATAGATTAGATTATTCCCCCCTGATTTAAGAAATAGGAACCTAATTTTCATGAATTATATCATTTTATCATAATCTCAACCAAAAGACAGTCTTATATTAACAAACAATGCATTCTAGCATTTCCTAATAAATTATGCAAATGAGGTCCTGATTTGAATAAATTATGTTTAATGATGTTCATCTCAATTTAACTTTCAAATACCACAAGTATGAAATTCCAGGCAGTTATCATTACATAATTATAAAATTTTCTAATTAATTATGCAAATTAAGTCATTATTAACATAATCAATATCTTCCTGTGTTTCTCTCGTTGTCAATTACCAATGTCACAAGCTTCAATTGTCCTATCATGGAATGCAGATGATTTATAGAATTTCCCCATAAATTATGCAAATTACATCCATATTTACATAATTGTCACATAATTATATTAAGCATCACGTAAGCTACCTACATACCAAAAATCACGACGATCCGTCAACTGGTTCTTGAGTTATCCCGTTTTGAATATTTTCAAGAATATATCCCTGCAGTTCCAGAGCAAGCCGCTAGGGGGCCTAAACTCATGTCACTTCTTCCCCAGCACAAGAGCTACCTACCATCCAAATTTCATCACCATAGCATGTCTAGATCATGAGATATCAAAACCGGAAGTTCAGCTGCAGTACCATAACAAGCCGCTAGGGGGTCCAAAATCTAATCATTTTGAGGTCTCATCAAGACCTACCCACCTACCAAGTATCAAGACAATCCATCAAGGCCTTCTCAAGTTATCGTGTTGACAGACAGACAGACAGACACACACACACACACACACATACACGAACGCCCCTGAAAACATAACCTTCTTGGCGAAGGTAATAAATAAAGGACCAAAAGCTTGGATCTGAAATTGTGCTAGCAAATTTGAGTGTACGATAGAGATTATAGAAGCCACCTTGGTAGTTAAGGAACGCACTTACATGTGCAGTAATAGTGGGAAGATTTGCAGAAGGTTGTCATTAGATTTGAGGATGAATGTCGTTAGATAGTAGATGTCTGCAAAAGTTTTTTAATTTATTGCTTTACTTGGTACCTTAATCGCTGTCTGTTCAAATGCAGTTGTTGTCCTGCCTACGTGGTTGTTACAATCCGAGCAATGCGTAATATTCACGAACATTCCCCGCTCAGAGAGAACAGCAAGGAAGAGCTGTGGGACCGTCTGTTAAGGTTCATCCTTACGAACAGATATCAGTTTATTACCTTCGCCAAGAAGGTTATGTTTTCAGGGGCGTTCGTGTATGTATGTGTGTGTGTGTGTGTCTGTCTGTCTGTCAACACGATAACTTGAGAAGGCCTGGATGGATTGTCTTGATACTTGGTAGGTGGGTAGGTCTTGATGAGACCTCGAAATGATTAGATTTTGGACCCCCTAGCGGCTTGTTATGGTACTGCAGCTGAACTTCCGGTTTTGATATCTCATGATCTAGACATGCTATGGTGATGAACTTTGGATGGTAGGTAGCTCTTGTGCTGGGGAAGAAGTGACGTGAGTTTAGGCCCCCTAGCGGCTTGCTCTGGAACTGCAGGGATATATTCTTGAAAATATTCAAAAAGGGATAACTCAAGAACCGGTGGACGGATCGTCGTGATTTTTGTTATGTAGGTAGCTTACTTGATGCTTAATATAATTATGTGACAATTATGCAAATATGGATGTAATTTGCATAATTTATGGGGAAATTCTATAAATCATCTGCATTCCATGATAGGACAATTGAAGCTTGTGACATTGGTAATTGACAACGAGAGAAACACAGGAAGATATTGATTATGTTAATAATGACCTAATTTGCATAATTAATTAGAAAATTTTATAATTATGTAATGATAACTGCCTGGAATTTCATACTTGTGGTATTTGAAAGTTAAATTGAGGTGAACATCATTAAACATAATTTATTCAAATCAGGACCTCGTTTGCATAATTTATTAGGAAATGCTAGAATGCATTGTTTGTTAATATAAGACTGTCTTTCGGTTGAGATTATGATAAAATGATATAATTCATGAAAATTAGGTTCCTATTTCTTAAATCAGGGGGGAATAATCTAATCTATAATTTGTCAGTCATAAAGATTAACATCATTTGGCGAAGGTATGAGATCGGGGAACTCTAGTTTTTCAATACTTCGTCTTGGAGTACTCTGTTATGTGGGGTCGTGTGGAGCAGTCGGTAGCGCGTTCGGCTCACACCCCAGAGGTTGCGGGTTCGAACCCCACCTTGTCACCGATCGTGTGCCCTTGGGAAAGGCACTTTACACGACGAAGGTGTAAATGAGTACATAGCTTCGGTTAGGGACGTCCCTCGGATAGGACGTAAACTGGAGGTCCCGTGTTTGAGGAGAGCCACACCTCGACCGCGTTAAAGATCCCACCACACCTTTCGACATGCCCCGGTGTGCGATGATACAAACACTACTGTATGGAGCTGGTGATTCACTTCAAATCACCTGGTCGGAAGCCTGGCGACCTCCGTCTTGTATAAGCCACATGGTGATTTACATCATTCACCCGGACGGAGGCCTGGCGAACCCCGTCTGTATCAGCCAAATCCTGGAGAGGAGATACGCGCCGCCAAGATTATAAGCCTACTGAAACATCATGGCGCAAGTCCAGACATGCTGCTGGCTGCCATAATGCCCCTACGACCGCTCACGGTTACATACATACTCTGTTGCGGATCAGCATTCCGGATTGGGGTAGTCTCGTACTGGCAGTTTGCATGAGCCCACGCGCGAGGCCGAATAGTCTGTTGGAGTCTAGTGACCAGGTTTTTGTACTTTCTATAAGCTGATAACACACGGAGGTGCAGCATTTCAAGTGATTTGCAAACTTCACACTTTTTATACAAATGGCCCCTTTCTGTTGGTGTTATTGCTATGCGCTTGGTTGTATCAGAATATTTTAATACCGAAGGCTTGGTTTCATATTCATAATAGTTATAGAAATAGCCATGAAAGTAGGCCAAATCAACACGGGCGGGATGCACGGCATGTCACTTGAATTTCTGTTGCCAAAGCGCACACTGCTGGTGCAAAAACGGGGAGAGATTTTTATCATTAGGCCACAGCAAGTAAAGTTTTTGGATGACATTCTCCGCAGACTCCAAATCTAATGCGATAAGGCAAGAAAACAAGGCGCGGCAAAAAAACAAGATTCTTACATTTTAAAATTTTGACATCATAAACCTTGTTAATCAAGAAATGATACAAATATTGTCAATAAACAATTAAGTTTACCGTCAAATATTACATTGGCACAGCCACTGAAACAACTTTGAAAAATAAGTGTTTGGCGAAAACTCCCCTGTAGTTGCAGAACAAGCTGCTAGCTTCTAATTGTCATCTACTCATATAACAAATGAGTAGATGTTGCATATGTCTGTTCCATATGCCCAAACTACGTGCGCACGACTTGCGGAAGATTACAAATTTTCCTTTTGACAGTTGTAGCAAATTATGCTTCCATTCTCAATAGCGATACATTATATTAATCAGCACTGCAGTGTGTCTGAAATCTCTAGTGAGGCCAATTGGAAAAGAAGGGTGGAAAACTGCTTTGAATTTACGCGTGGACTTATTTAGGGACTTCTACAATATTTCGGCTTACATTATATGTGCATCTTGTGGCTGCAAGTGGGGAAATCACTTCAACTATAGCTTGATATATATATTTCAAATGGATTTATTCAGTTGAAGTTTTGCTACACTGGATCTCAAATAGAAAAATGACCTACATAACTGGCGGCCCGGACTACGGATAAGAATAGCAGTGGTGGAATGTGGGAACTTCCCACGATGTATGAGCCTTACAGTTGCGTACTTGCGGTGTAAACATAGTGGCGCTAGAGTCTGTTAACATTCATGTGTACGAAAGACCGATCATTCGGCGGGTTCACAGCTCAGATATTGTTTAACTGCCATCGCCGTACCCCGGGTCAGCTGTGGCTGCGATACAAGTTTAGCACCTAACGGAGACATAGGAGAACTGTCAGTGTGACGCAATCGGTCGGCTGAAGCCGTGGATTGGCACATCCACCTCTGAAACCTTTCTGTAAACCTCAAATCTGGATTTGTAGGTGTCAAGATGTTCCGATTTGTGGAAGGTAAGTGGTGGTCTGGACTAGGTTTATACTAATGCCCATGTATTGGTTTTCCGTAATTGGCTAGTTTACGCCAACAGGTAAGCGAATTTGTCATAAATTTCGGATTTAAAGTGAGTAACATTATGTTCATTTAGCAGATCCTGTAATGTATAATGATACCAAGCAAAAAGATGAGCGAGCCTTAGTCACAGTGACAGACGGAAGTGCCGAGACAACAACGTTAGCATTTCAGGTTTATATATACACCCTTCGTCGGGTCAGACTCAGTCGAGTCCTTCCTACTATATGACACCATCGTCGTCGGAATCTTGTCTGGCGTTTTCCTATCAAAGTCTTCTTGAGTTCCTCCTTTGAGAATTGATAGGAAGAGTGAGAAAACCAGCCAGCGGCGGATTGCTTAAGGATTCATTGGATAGTATTCATTCTTTGCAATGCTATTTGTGTTGAAATAGAAAGTTCGCGTCTCATCTCACCCCGACAGCTCAGTTCTGTCCCTCAGATTTAGTCATGTCTTCTCTTATGTTGGCACATGTGAATCCGACAGGCACAATTCGAGAAATGAACTGGACTATTTACCTCTTCATGACACGGTCCTCAGTAAAAAAAATTAGGTGCACGTGTCCTTTTTAATGTCTATTGCATGAAGGTATCTTTAACACGGTGCTGACTACATGACAAGGCCATACAGTCATACGCACCAAAAAAAGCCCAAACGCAAACGTGTGAAAAAGCGACTTTGCAAAATACAACTTCAGAACTTAGTGTAGTTTGAGGATTTAGATTGACTACACGATTTGATCCGACAGAAATATCTGATCGTATTACCGTATTCCGTGGTAGACAACATTACTGGATCAGAAACCTGCAGCTGGGCCACATGTGAGTGTCGAAAGGTACCCCGGGTTTGACCTTCCTTGGCCAAATTCTTCCCATATTCTTCGGTCTCTGTTGTGACATCCAAGAATTTGGATGGACGTTACAGTTGCACAGCTGCGTGATTGTAAGATACTTGAGACTACCAATATGACATCTGATAGTGTGATTCCCAAAGCATACACACTCAGTTACCACAACCCCCGGCCCCGCATCGACTGGAATCTGGTTTCTGATGATTCAGTAAACTGTGTGTGAATTGCCCAGTAGGCTACACAAGTGATTTATATTATTTTGTATAGTCTGTTTGTTTGTTTTCCTAAAATTGTTCTGGTTTCCGACAACGTCAATGTGCAAAAAGAGCAATCATAATGGAAACATTCCACAGTCCACACATTAGACAAATACATAACGCACAAACACTCACACGCAAACAAACACGCAAACACACACACAAACACGCAAACAAACAAACACACACACACACACACACACACACACACATGGTTGATTATACGATCACTACCAGCCGCTATATATTGTGTGTTACGCTGCATTGGGGTTATACGGGCTATACACATACAAACGATAAGGGACAGGCTACGTGATATGCATGTAAAGATACTGAAATCCTAACGGCCGGGTGGCGTAGATCTTGTTACCTCCGGGAAGGAGACATCCTTCTGCGGGGACAAAATCGTGTTTGTGGTCATGTTTGCGTGTTCGCAGCAATTTCCACTCACGGTGGATTTCACGGATTTCTTTGATTTTCGGTAAATGATTAGTACTTGGGGTCCAGATGATGCGGATTGTTTTTTACTGTGTCTGTATTTTCAGCTATTGAAATAAAATAACTGGACACCCCTGTACAGCACTGTGTGTGATCGTCTATCATTTAAAAACTGTCGTCAGTCGTATGCGTTATTACGCCGGGGTTGTACGAATTTTTAAAATGGGGGTTAGCAGGTCCCGATTGAATTCTTTTTTTGGTTGCCTTTGTGTGTTCGCACCCAAACCTCATGGCCTCGTGGTTAGTTATTGAGGTCCAAAAGAAACATTGTGATTTGAGGCATTTTAGCTGCATTTGAGGCACCCCGGCCAGTATGTGGCGTGGTATCGTCTGTGATCACCAACTGTTGTCCGCTGTAGGAGTTAAACCGTGTGGGACTAATGGGCTATACCACACTACTTTCAGGAATGGGGGGTATTCTGCATTATGTATCATGATTGTGATATCAGCCGTCTCAAGTCATGTAGCAATACTGGTAACATTGCTGTTAATGTGATGTCTGAAATTGTCAGTAATCGTTCTGAACATTATGTATTATATATACTTTCCGGTCGTTTGGAATATCAGATTTCTTGTTTGTGATATTGTTGATTAATGATTTCGTTGTGTGTGTCTCGTTTACTAGATTGAAGATGGCAGTACTATCTTAGCAAAGAATGAGTCACGACTAAGAATAGTTTTAACTCACATCTACACATCAAGTACTCAAACAACTTCTATCCACTAGTGTGACCGTCTGACCTCTTGACTTACAAATTACTGATTGTTCCAGATAGATACGAGGTCACAATCAATTCATTACAAGGACGGACAAGGGCAGCTGAGTCGGTGACTGTGAATAGGAGATGTCATACCGACAGTGACGACCTTTGCCGTTAAGGCAAAAACAGCCTAAGGGGTTGAGAAGATCAGTGCAAACCAAAGTCACTCAACTGGCGGCATAAACTTTTGATTCAATTGACCGCATGAAACATACCACACGGTAAGACGTTTGTCGCACCTGTTATGAGTTAATTGCTTTGAATTCGTCCCCAGAAGTGGCGATGGCCGTGCGGATGCTCCAGAGCGGGTCAGGCGGCGGGAAGAGTGTGGGCTTCCGCAGACAACCCGAGTCAGCACCGAAGACAGGAGCCGAGTGCGTGGCTTCAGGTTTGGACAGCATCTTGGCTGCCTCTATACTCTCTGAAGGTTGGTCAGCTGACAAAGTTTTTTCTTATTCCCCCCCTCTCATTTTCTGACGTTCTGATATTTTGAGATCTCATTACGTGTATGTTGTGTACGTGTTTAGGTCAATATGCATGTATAGCAGGAGCTTGCTGAACAAAATGACAGATAATAACCCCGGCTTACAAGTTTACCCCAAACGGTACGATCCTCTGTTGTTGTTTTTGACCGTTTTACAGCAGGCATTGACAGTATGAAAAAGAGGCTAGACACGAGGGTAAAGATCAACGTCAGTGGCCTGAAGTTCGAGACCAAAGATGGCGTCTTCCTTAAGCACCCGGATACTCTCATGGGTAGGCAGGGAACTTCTTTGTCTGCATGTTCCATTTCCTCACTCCTCCCAGAATAAAATGGCACAACTCACAGCTGGTGCACGTGTTTCAACCCACATGATCTCTGCCTTGGAAGAGTCCTTGAGTTGACCCACGCATCTCTGGAGCAAGTCCATTGTCCATACTTTGTCTTTCTCGTGTATATTGTTATGCCATTTTACTTCAAGTAGATCCATAACCTATCGATTTACGCTTATATATCTGTACACTACCTCACAGGAGACATTGCACGTCGCCAACAGTTCTACAATGAGGAGAAAGATGAGTTCTTCTTCGACCGACATCGTCCCAGTTTTGAGGCGATATTTCGCTACTATCAAACAGGTACACCAGAAGGTCTTATTTAACTCTGGTATATTAAAGTATCAGTATACTAAAGTCTTGCCTCCGAGTGAATGGTACTGTAAATAATGTAAAGAGGGGGCAGTTGAAGATGAAGTGCATTTCATATGTAAGTGTCCTAATTACGATTTTGAAAGAAAAACGTATTCAAAGAAATCTCTGACATTTCTAAGTTTTTCACATCTCAACAAAAGACTATGTTACTTCAGCATCTAATATCTCTCGACCCATTTACTTGTCGGACAATATTCATCTCCCACTGCCTCCAGAGAAGAAGTCAAAAACCCCAATAGCTGAGCTAGAATAAGAATAGCAGTTGGCATGTCTCCTTTACCTGTTCATGTTTTACATATAATCACTCTGTCACATGTACATACGTTACTAGTTTTAAGTAGAGATAGAAACTTTGATTAGAAGAAGTAGAACTGTGGCAACTGCCTGGAAAGTTATACTTGAAGCATTTGAAAGTTAAGAGAAGGTGAACATCAGTATTCATATCTTATTCAAATTAGGGCATAATTGCATAATTCATGAGAAAATGCTAGAGTAGACTTCATTGATAAGACTGGCATTTGGTGGAGAATATGATCAACTGGTATAATTCATGCAAATGATCTTATTTTCATAATCATCGGAAATAATCTACGATTCGTCAGTCATAAAGGTTAATATAATTTAAATTTTCATAAGTATAACTTATGACAATTTTGTATTATAATTTAGCCTAGGGAACTCCATATGGTGAAAATCGTATCTTTTTATCGGCCAAATGTATGCTTTAAACGTAGAGACACATCGTACTTAAATTTACAAACCTTTCATTACATTTACTTATTCACAAGTATAATACACTATTACAGCTATTATTTATTTTGGGATTGTGGGGCCATTTTAGATTAAAAGGCATATTTTGGCCTCTTATGTCATTGAAAGCAAATGACAGCAAACTTGGCATTAAGGTGCCTAGGAAATATTCATTCATTCACATCACATCACCAAGCCATGTATCACTTGGTAGAAGATTCCATTTTTCCACATAGAGAGAAATGCTGCATTTAAAGGCAGACACAAGAGCAGAGGCGATTGTTCTGGTTGCGTAGATACTATTTTTCTCAAACCTCTAAAATAANATACACTATTACAGCTATTATTTATTTTGGGATTGTGGGGCCATTTTAGATTAAAAGGCATATTTTGGCCTCTTATGTCATTGAAAGCAAATGACAGCAAACTTGGCATTAAGGTGCCTAGGAAATATTCATTCATTCACATCACATCACCAAGCCATGTATCACTTGGTAGAAGATTCCATTTTTCCACATAGAGAGAAATGCTGCATTTAAAGGCAGACACAAGAGCAGAGGCGATTGTTCTGGTTGCGTAGATACTATTTTTCTCAAACCTCTAAAATAAATTATATTGGCAACTTAACATTGAGTGTGAACACGGCAGCAGTAATATTGTACGGCATTGATATTCTTGTAACCCCCGAAGTACCTTCAGATCAATTACAACCAGGTGAAAAATATTGTTTCGCAAACAACCATTGAACAATATTCCAAACCTGCGGCTCTTAACACGTCTTGGGTTGATGTTAAAACCCATGTTTGCGGTGTGTTTCTGAGTACTTGTTTGTCAATTCATCACCTTAGCAACTTCGTTTTCCTTTTGGTTTGTACCAAAAGTGACGTTTTCTCTGGCAGTCATCCAATTGAAACAAATACTTAAGATTCAAACGTGGTTCTCTAAAAAAAGTGGCAGCTGTTACGAAATCCGGGATGATCTTTCAAAATTATAAGGTTTGCGATGTATGAGTGGATAGTTCAGCAATTGTCCACCTTAATATCTAAATTTTCCTCCTGCTTTGATCCAAAAAGTGACCGAGGTCTTCAACAATTATCCCATTCCTGTCACCCCGCACGTGGCTCTGCATGGAGGGGCACTACTCAGTTACTGGAATTTGAATAGTTCAATTCTTTGTTAATCTGTAACTAAATTTTACAAATTTGCTTGACTTCATACAATAAAATGTGTTCTTTTAGAAAATAATACTGGCCTCCCCTTTTGCCCTTTTAATCGGAAATGTAAATGTATTTAATTGTAATTATAAAAGGGCGTTATGTAACATTTTTGCACCAAATTTTTGCACCAATTGTCATATTTTAATTGAAAAATGTCGATTGAAATTTCCTTCCGCTTCCCAACATGTTTTGTGCTATTATCTCACATTTCTGACATTTATTGGTGTTTCTAAAACAGCCCACACGAGACTAAATGAGTTTATGGCACCACAACAAAATACCAGAATGTAAACAAACATGGGTCCTAACTTTTACATTGTGTCACCCGCAGGAAACTTGGTTCGACCCACCAACATCCCTGTGGACATCTTTGCAGACGAGTTGCGCTTCTTTGACCTCGGAGATGACTTGATTCTGGACTTCTTGGACTCGGAAGGTTACCCGGTGGACAGGCCACTCACGGACCTGCTGCCGGACTCTGAGCCCAGACGGTCCATCTGGCTCCTGTTTGATTACCCCGATAGTTCGGTTTGGGCTAAAATTGTCGGCCTGATCTCAGTCAGTGTCATCCTCATCTCTATCGCACAGTTTTGTATCGAAACTCTTCCTCAGTACAAGAGCCAACAGGCCCTCAGCTTCCCGTCCAACGCCACAGCTACAGATGTGTTACAGACAAGCGGGTTCTTCCAGGTAGAGACGGCGTGCGTAGTTTGGTTCTGCTTCGAACTGACAATTCGCTTCTACGCCTCCCCTAGTAAAGTGGCATTTGTAAAGGACATGATGAACATCTTTGATCTTGTCTCCGTCGTGCCTTACTTCGTCACCCTGGGAATTCTTGTTGGCGACATCGACATCTCCGGAAATTCCGTTTCCGTCGCGTTTGTAAGAGTGCTAAAGGTGGTTAGGGTCTTTCGTATATTCAAACTTTCTCGGCATTTTACGGGAATGCAAATTCTTGGAAAGACTCTACACGCCAGTATGGAAGAGCTTGGCATGCTTCTGTTCTTCCTGTCTGTGATGACCGTGCTGTATGCCAGTGGAGTGTACTACGCTGAGTTCGGCGATCCCAGGACTTACTACACCAGCATACCGGAGGGATTTTGGTGGGCTGTTGTAACAATGACCACAGTTGGCTACGGAGACCATTACCCTGTTTCTCTGCCCGGCAAAATCGTGGGATCCATGTGTGTTGTCACGGGCCTTCTGGTCATTGCGCTGCCTGTGTCGATCATTGTGGAGAATTTCAACCACTTCTATGGTAAGGAAAAACGAAAAAGGGAACTTAAGGAAAAAGAAAAGACTACAAAACCCACGCTGGCGGTCAGGGTCGCTGTGCTCCTGTTCCGAATTATCAACAAGTGCGGCTGTCAACGTTTTCTACCTTCTCTCCCAGTACAGGACATGGCTGACAAACATGGCGACCCGGACACGCCGGACATCCAGGTGCATGCCGTGGAGGACGTGGAGGATGACCGGATCGCCAACGCGATCGACAACTTGAGAACACACAACCCCGTGCCAACTATGACTACGCTTGGTCGGTTCGTGGTGCCCGTGCACGACCGGAAGTCCTCCGAAAATTTAAACTATATCAGCAGATCCTCTGACAACATCAACAGGGTAGTGAGAAGATGAAGCAAGTGGTGTGGGTACGGATTTATCCAAGCGTGTGGATCCTATTGTCCAAAATATCCATCTAACAATATCCATCTTTACCTCAGTTAACACAAAGGAACTATACACTATAACATTTCTCACGCCAAGGCGATCATGATTGGAGAAACGATAGTGTCCAAAATTTAGTCACTTTTAAGCCAGGGCCTACTCACCGACACAAGAGAATAAAAACTAAAGCTAAATTCATTTCTAAGTGAAAAAATGAAATAATCTTGATAATCTTGAAATAATCCCTTGATAACGTTCTTAAGCTTAAGGACTGTCATAGTATGTTTCGTAATTGAACTAATTTTCAGTTTGGGAAAGACGATCTGTATGTGAAAAACTGTGTAAGAAGGCCAATTTTGTGTGGCTAGCATGTCGTGTCTGTGTTTATTAAGTAATAAAATAAAACATCCCTATTGACTGTCACATTCCCTTATTCGTTTTATTGGTAAAATTGATAAAATCAACGGGTTTGATTGGATCCGTGGAAGCAGTATTTACGGTTAAGAAAGTTTGGAAAGTTTAGTTTTTGGATTGTCAGTTTGTATTTCTTTGTGTGTATACCTCTTTCAATTTTCGTGGCGTAGATTCTACAGCGGAGACTCTTCTTTCTTTTTTAATCATATCTAATCATAATCTGACGCAAACAATCAGATGCCGGGAAAGTCACCAGAGAGAGAGAACTACTCTCCAAGCAGAGGTTTGGGTTTTGGGGGTGTTTTTAACGTGTTTTTAGGCTTTTTTATCGGAGTTTCTCTTTTGCACTGAATTTTTTTCCCACCAAACCCAACCTCTGTCGGCACTCATCCCGTTGGGTTTGGTGGGGGAAAAATTCAGTGCAAAAGAGAAACTCCGATAAAAAAAAGCCTAAAAACACGCTAAAAATACCCCCAAAACCCAAACCTCTGCTTGGAGAGTAAGAGAGAGAACGCCCGCAGGGTTGGTAGCACTAGTACGTCGGCAGAACGTACTGCGCCTGCGTGAAACCCGGATTTTCACGGTTTTCATACAACATTTTCCTGTTCCAGACTCAATTTACGAAAACAAGAGTTCCGAGATCTCATACCTCCATGAAATATGGGCTTAACATGTAAATGTAAATTTCTTAAATAAATGTAGTAAATAAATGTTTAAGGTAGGCGCAGCCCGTATCGCCGACGTGTGGGTACCAATGATTGATGCTGGCATGTCACCTGATAGGATATACGGCATAATAAAGTGACAACCAGTGGGAGCCTCTGATCGCTTCAAAATCTGCTTGGCTGGATGAAATGTCTATTAAGTTCAGCTAAAGACATTGAAACTGTGATAAACTGGGGTTTTCTCAAAGTGAATCGATGGATAAATCGTACATATCACCAAATGTCACGTGGACGTTTCTTTCATTACAAGAGTCCATTCCATGGACGTCGATTGGCCATCAGAAGGATAACGATTGAGACACAACGTTTACCGGTTTCGAACTTGTATTTAAAAGTCTCCATCATAATGGCAAACCTTAGAAATAGCCAATCAGCATACAGGATTTTGTACTGCACTGACCAATGGGCCAATCAGAGCTTAGAATAGATGCTGACTCAGTAAACAAAATTTAGGCATGTCAGGGCGCTCTGAGCGTTGTCTTTTGTTCTTGTTGTTATGTCCC